ATACACATTTGTAAATATATATATATATATATATATAAACATATATATATTTATAAATATAGGTGTATATTCAAGATATATATATATATATATATATATATATATATATATATATATATATATATGCATATATATACACATTTAAAACAAATATATATATATATATATCCTTATAGTGTAATCGAATGAGACTTTTATGGTAAAAAAAGTCTTTTACAATTAAAAAAAGTCTTGACTACAATTTTTTTACTTCGTTCTTAAAATGCATTCTTTTGCCGTCGAATTGTCAATGAAATAAAATTGATGCGAAAGTCCATTATTTTTTTATATTTTTTTAAAAACCCCAATAACTATGACAAGAAAATTTTTTTTAAATAGTGGTGTTTTTGTTTTTGTTTTGTTAAAAATCATTTTTAAAACATGCGTTAGTGTTGCTACATTGACTATTTTATAGCCTGCTGTAAAGAGGGAGTGTTGCTACATCGACAATCATATAGCTTGACTCGCAACGGAGTGCAGCTACATCGACTGACAAATAGCCTGACTCGCAAGGGAGTGCTGCTCCATCGACTGTGGGTTTGCTTTGGCAGGCAGTCTTTCATTAAAAAAATAATAGTTTTAATATATATATGTATATATATTTACCATTAGTAATTCAGACTGAACGATTTCGTTTTTTTATTGCAAATTTTCATACTTTTTTATAAAAGCATATGTCATGCCTAATAATTATTTTTAAAATACAAATTTTTATTTTATATTTTAGTTGTAAAACAAAAAATAATTTAGTATTTCAAAAAAATTACGCGTACAATATATTTTCAAATATTGTATATGCTTATATGTACGTATTTATATATCTATGTGAATACGTGCACATATGTATATGTGTGTGTGTATCTGGGTGCAGATTCACAAAACTTTAGTAACTTTTGCTTAACTTATGTAAAACGGTCGCAATTTTTTTTGTAAATATTTAGTATTCACAAACATTTTGCAGCGTAAGCATTAAGTTGAAAATGCGCACAAGGTACGCCTAACTTAAGCATAAAAGCTTTTGATTTTTTGCGTATGTTAAATTCAAGTTATAAATAAATAAGAAACCATTCGTTTACATTTTTAACTTAAATAAACAAAGTAGTATAAACGTATCAAAATGGCCACTGTTATACATACTTAACTACTTTAGAAATTACTATAGCATCACTTTTTTTTATGTTATAATTTAAGGGCATTGGTAATTAAGTAAAAAGAAATTCAAACTTGACTAAAAAGGAATTTAAATTTAAAATATATTTTTGGGGATCAAAAATATATTTTAAATTTAGGTATTAAAATAATGGCATATCTTATGAAAGCTCAAACTCTTAGTGTTTACTTATTTAGCAAGATACTCATTGAAGTAAAATCATTATGTAAGCATAAAGCATCAAGAGGTTGTAGCATAAATAAATAGTTTATTTTAAAACAGCTCACTTTAGAAAGCCATAACTTAGCTCAAAAATAAAAATAAAAAAGTATATTGCTTCAATGAACTTAAAATTTATTTTATTACAATAACAAAATTTCAAAGCACTATTACTAAAATCAACTAAAACTAGTTTAAGATAATCAGAATTAAAAAAAAGAATAGAATAATTAAACAAGTTTTTATTTCATATCTAAAAATTTGCTATCACTCCTCAATATAAGAGTTACCTGTAGTAACCTGATTTTAGAAAAGCATTACTCTAAAACTTATTAAAGTTTTTTACAGGCTTTTGTCAACTATTTAAGTTTCATACAGAAATTAATAATCATATTTAGCAAAACGGAAAATTTCCAAAATTAATAAAAATATCAATCAAAATTATTTAAATATCAATCGGAAGATTGAAATTGCACTAAAATCACTAAAAATTTTAGCATCATAAGTTATTCAATTTTCCTCTTTGTCTTGTTCAAATTTACTTTTTTCATTTTTCTCTTATTTGTTTCCGATGTTGGTTTAATTTATTGCTAATTTTTTTTTGCTATATTACTAACTTTTTAATTGCAAAATGTCATATATTTTTTACCAAAGTTATTATTTCTAAACGAACATTTAGTTTACCGCATTACCTTTTACACGCCATTGACAAATTTTTGCATTTAATGAGTTTTTATTATTTTGAGTTTTTTCATGAAGACACCTTTTACCATGTTTTCATTAGATAA